CCTCTCATTTCTTCCTTTCTTTTCCCAGCTTTGAATGCCCTTTTAGTTTCAACTCCAGGTTAAATATGCTGCATCAATTCTCCTTATGCACTTCCTGGGCAAACTTAGATCCCTTGTAGAATTCACAAGGAGTTTCTTATACTGGAGACAAGTGATTCTGGCTGACATTGAGAATATACTTATTTTAGAGGAAAACATTGTGACCCACTTACATGGTCATTTGACATCAGTGTCCCACTCTGAGTGAGCAACAATATTTGTTTCAGTATGTTTTAGAACTCTCTGGTGGTATATAGCACTAACACTAAAACCCGAAGCCCCAACACCTTTCCCAACATTTAATATTCTAGTTTAGTAAACTGGGAGTAAATGGCTTATATTTTAAAATGTGTTTAGAGTTCTTCCCTAACCCTTGGCCTCTTATATATAGCACTGACTTGTGAGTTGTTCGCATGTGGTTTCTATATGCTCAAACTTGGTAGGCAGAAGCTGACTCTTAGGTACTCTCTGCCTTCCTAGTACTCACAGCAGTGTCTGCCCCACAATCTGTGCTTTTAGAGAATTCACTCACTCACTCATCCATTCATTCATCAATTCATTCAACCGCTGTCCTGTGCAAGGTGTCTTTTAGGTGCTAGAGATAGGAGGTTCTGGCTGTCACTGAGAATATAATATCGTTTTTGAGTAAAATATTGCGACTCACACATGTGGTCATTTGATTGGTGTCAAGTGCTGAGGGCAGACACATTCTCTTTCTTCTTTACTTGAAATACGTTTTCTACTGAGTAAGCAACAGTATTTGTTGACAATAATGAATTTCATATTCTTCACAAGGCTCTGTATGTAATTCTCAGCCCTCTCCCACATAAAAATTTTAAACAAATATCTAAATTATTGAAAGCATGTATTCATCACTGTGAGCTTCACAACCTTTCAGTATTTCGAGGTTTCTTTGATGATATTGACACTATATTTTATATGTTGAATAATGAAGTGTATTAAAATTCATGAGACTTGCATATACTAGTGAACTAGTGTTTCCCAAGTGAGCAATGAATGGTGCTATAAAATTACACATATGTGAAAGTCAGTCATGGGTTTCAATCCGTTCAAAATCCAAGACAGATCAGTTTGTGACTGAAGATATGAAAGGGTCATTGATACAGTTTCTGATTTACACATTGCCACCAATCTTTGAGAAGCTACTCTTTGTAAGATTTTGGTTGGTTTTGTACTTTGCACACAATCTGAATGTATTTCTCAAAAAATCATGTATTGGAAGTGTGATTAGTAGTCCAGCTATGTTGAAAGGCTGTGGAGTGTTTACAAGATTGAATAGAAGGGAATTCGGTACTCAGGGGCCAGCCACCCAGTCACACAGCTGCCACAGAGGAAGAGTGAAAGTAAGATACACAGAAGTAGGAAAAGGAAAAAGCCCAGAGGCAGAAGGTAGACGGGATAATTTAAGATAAGAAAAACTAGCTAGAAACAAGCCAAGCTAAGACCGGACATATATAAGATAGAATAAGACTCTGTGTTTGATTTATTTGGGAACTGGGTGGTGCCCCCCACAAGCCAAAAAAGAGTAAAACTTCACACAACAAGATACTGGTAGCATTGTCCTTAATAGGCATTAATGTAATTTTTTTAGGACCTTCCGTTATTTTTCATGAGAGGGCAACAGTGACCCTATCTGGCTTCCTGTCTTGCCATGTAACAGCTCTGTTCTTCTTGCATGTACTCCTACCATGTTACCATCTTCTATATTGTGATGTTGCCAGAATGTCATTACAGGTCCTGAACAGGCGAGGAATCCTAATTTTAGACTTTCAACTCCCAAAATGCCGATCGGAACCTCACCCATTACATTCCAAACCTTGTTTCTTACATATTCTCTAAACTTAGGTGTTCTGTTGTAACAAAGTGTGGCAGCCAGAATGGGAAAAGGTTTTCCTACTCTACAGCTGACAGAGGGCTAATATAAGAATAACACAAACTATATAAAGAACTCAAAAAAACTAGAATTTCATAAACCAAATAATCCAATTAAAAATGGTGTACAGATCTAAACAGAGAATTGTCAGCAAAGGGATCTCAAATGGCCCAGAAACACTCAGGAAATGTTCAACAAACATCCTTAGCCATCAGGGAAATGCAAATCAAAACAACTTTGACATTCCATCTTACACCTATCAGAATGACTAAGGTCAAAACCACAAGTGTCAGCTCATGCTGGAGAGGATGTGGGAAAGGGGAATACTCCTCCATTGCCGAGGGGAGGGCAAACTTGTACAGTCACTTGGGAAGTCAATATGATGGTTTCTCATAAAATTAGGATTTGATCTACTTCAAGACCCAGTTATACCATTCCTGGGCATATACCTAAAGGACGCTCCAACATACCACAAGGACACTTGCTCAACTATGTTCATTGCAGCTTTATTTGTAATAGCTAGAAATGGGAAACAACCTAGATGTTGAATAATGAAGAATGGATAAAAAAATGTACATTTATACAATGGAGTAATATTCAGCTGTTAAAAACAATGACATCATAAAATTTGCTGGCAAATTGATGGAACTAGATAAAAGCAACGATCCTGAATGAGGTAATCTAGATGAGAAAGACAAATATTATAATTGAATATTAGCTGTAAAGTAAAAGATAATTATGTTACAATCCACAGATCCAGGGAGGCCAAGTAACAAGGAGAGTTCAAGGGGGGTGACTTGGAATGGGGAAATAGAATAGACTATACCAGTGAACTGGGGGCAGGTGGGATTGGGAACAGTAAGGATCAGGTGGGGAGAGGGAGAAAATCCTAGGAGAAATGACTAGAATTGGGAGACATTCAGGGGTGAGGTAGAAACCTAGTGCAGTTGAAACTCCATGAAATCTATTAGAGTAACCCTAGCAAAGACTCCTAGTAATGGGGGTCATGGAGCCTGAACCAACCATCTTCTGTAACCAGTCAAGGCCCCAAGTGAAAGGATTGGGACATCAACCCAGCCACAAAACCTTTGACCTACTGTTTGTCCTGCCTGCAGAGTGTTCTGGGACTGGAGCCTAGCTGAAGCCTCATCAGCGACCAGAGAGACTGATGGGAGCAGATGCAGAATACCACAGCCAAACATTAGGCAGAGCTCGGGGAGTTCTGCCGAGGAGGGGACAAAGGATTGGAGTAAACAGAGGAGTCAGAGACCCCGTGAGAACACGACCCTTAGAATCAACTGACTGGGACTTATGGGTTGCGGAGATCAGCGAGCCTGTAGGAGTCTGATGCAGGTCCTCTGTTTACTTGTAGGATAGGATTCCTAACAGTGGGAGTGGGGGCTGTCTCTGACTCTTTTGTCTGCTTGTGGGACCCTATTCCTCTTACTGGGTTGCCTTATCCAGCCTTGATTTGATGGTATTTGCCTGGTCTTACTGTAGCTTGTTGTGCTGTTTTTGGTCAATGTCCCTGAGAGGTCTGCTCTTGTCTGAGAGGAGGTCTTGGTGGGGTTCTCTGGGGAAGAGGGGAACTTCAGGGCGGTGGGGGGGGGGGAGACTGGGGAGAAGAGGGGAGGGGAAACTGGGTTTGGGATGTAATATATGAGAGAAGACAAAACAACAACAACAAATGCAACAAAATAAAGTTTCGCAGCAAAAAGGATTGCTACAATTATCTGAAAGGTTTTTCCCATACCTTTTCCAACTAAATGTTTATGAGAAGACAAGTTTGAACTACAAATGGTAAAGTACTAAGTACTATACTAAGTATACTTAGTATATGGTAGATATATTACAGCTAATACCGAGAACATTAAATATCAAATACAAAGTAATTAAAAGTTCTATAATTATTGTATGCAAAATAATTTTACCTTATTTATTATTTATATTACCTAATTTATTCTAAGGGAAACAAAAATTATAGTTTATAAATATATATAAAGCTGTTTTTGGTGCAATACACCAACATTATCTGCATATAGCAAACCAAAACTGTGTATTTATTTTCACTGTAACTAACAGTACGCAAAAAGAATTTCTACCTTATTTAATAAAATATATCCTAAGTGAACCTAAAATTATATCCTATAAACTTAAAGTTTTTCTGGTGCCATACATCAATCATATTTGCAAATAGAAAAGCAAAATTTTGTATAAAGGAATGCTTTCCACCAAGCAACAAGATGCAGTTCACTTTTGAAATGGCGAGGCATATTTAAAACACACTAGGAATAACTTATAGATTTAAAACATTCTAGGACTAACTTTTAACTTTGCCATTCCTATTTATGCTACTCAGTTATGCACGGATACTGCAGTATAAGCTTACTTCAAGAGACAGAGGTCTCTTAATGCTAAGTGAGTAAAAGTTGGACATACATAACAAAGGAAGAACAAGCTGAGATTTCAGCATGAACCATAGGTGCATGTTGAGATTTTTCACCAGTAATATTTTTCCTAAAAGTGTTTTTTCCTTTTTAATTGTTTTAGAATTTCTCATTCCTAGGGTATTTTTACCTCTCCTCCTGGAGACAAAAAAAATGTCTCAGATCTTTATATATCTCTATTTAGAAAGGGATGTGATTCTGGCTAATATCCCTTTAGATTCTTTGTTCTGGAAGGAAAATAAGTAAAGAAAGCAAATATCACATCAAAAGGGAAAAAATGAAGAAAAAAATAATTTCAGAGTTTGTTACCTCGGAAGAATGGAATAGATATTTTAATATAGCACTAGCCAACAAGTGCTCACCATTCCCGTTTTATATTTGCTTGTATATGGATATAAGGATATTTGATTAAAGTTACTTTGCAGTTAGATATTTTATAGTCATAGGTCTTTAAAACTTGTTGGTAATAGATATCTTGAGTGTTCCACTCCTACTTTTAGGCATGAGATATAGGTGAACTTGTTTCAGGCTTTAAGGGTAGGTATTTCTAACTGGGAACCAGTGATATCCTAATGTTCTGCTTAAACCAGTCCCAGGGTCATCGGTGACAGTCCTAGCAATCAGTACTCAATTTTTTTCTGCAAGTATTTTAACATGGCCTCTATTCCCTCTGCAGAGCCCCAAATATTTTTCAGCACTTTGCACTCCCTCTCATTGGCCTCCTCCAACTTCATCTTGGTGGTAAAGCGCAGTAGGGCTTTGGACTCTTCCAGGACAACTGCATTACATGAGGCGAGCTCCTTGATTCGAATCATGACTTCCTGGCTGAAGGTCTGTGGCCAAAATACCTGGGAGACCAGGCCCTTCTTACAAGCTTCCTGTGCTGTCAGTTTCTGCCCACTGAGCAACATTGCATTTGCAGAGGCTTCTCCCATAGTATTGGGAAATGTAAAGCTGGAACAGCCATCTGGACTCTGTCCAAAGGTGGTATAGGGGGTTTGAAACCAAGCCTTTTCATTAGCCCAAACCACATCACAAAGAGGCAGTATAGATGCTCCCAAGCCAAGGGCTGGGCCATTGACTGCTGCAATAATAGGCTTCTTAAACTGAATGAACGTATTCACAAAATTTTTGATCGATTCTGCCATTTTAGCACTTTCTCTTTTCTTGTTCGCTGTGAGGCGCTGTATAAAATAAGTAAAGTCCAGTCCAAAGCAGAAGACATTGCCAATTGCACTGAGAAGTACCAGCTTGCTGTCATCAACAGCAGCCTTGTTGAGAGCATCCTGAAGTTCTTTCATCACTTCTAGATTTAGTGAGTTATTTTCTGATGATTTTGTGGATAACATGATGTGGGTGAAGCCATCTTGCTTCCTCACCACGATATCTCTGAATCTGGAGGAACTCTCCACCAGCCTTACACTGAAACGCCTTTCAGAAGGCCTTCTCTTGACAGTACATCTTGGCCTGTTCTCATCAGGTTTTTCTGGAGCACTTGTCTCCTTGTTAGTCGTTTCTGTAACTGTTTGCTTTATGTTACTTGCATCCCCTGATGGAGATTGTCCTGTAGTAGCAATAGTTAAAAGTGGAGCCAGGTCTGTGGTCATGGGGCAAGATGAAAATTGACCTTTGTTGGTAACAGCCAACTGCGACCTTGTTGCTGCTATCACTTGGCCAGACAGAGATTGACTTCTTTTGGCAGCTTCTAAGTGCTTGGCAGTGGAGGCAATTACCAAACTAGACATCGATCGACTCTTTCTGGTAGCAGCTAAGGCTTTCTCCTTGGCTGTGGTCACTGGGCCAGGTAAAGGATGTTCACTTTTGGCCCCTGTCAAGTGTGTGGCTGTATCTGTGGTCACCAGGTTGGATGGAAATTCATTCTTTCTGCGACTGGCCAGTCGCGTGGTTATAGTTGTGGAACTTTTTTGGTCAACAGCCAAGCCTGTGGCCATGGCTTTGGTTACTGGACCAGTTGAAGACTGACTTTTTCTGGCAACGGACAAGCGCGTAGCCATGGCTCTGGTCATTAGGCATGGTGAAGATTGGCTCTTTCTGCCACCAGTCAAGTACGTGGACCTGGTTTTTGGCACGCGGCCAGACGAAGACTGGCCCTTTCTGTTGACAGACGAGCATTCGTCCATGGTTGTAGTCACTGGTCTAAACAAAGGCTGGCTTTTTCTGGCAACGGACAAGCGTGTAGCCATGGCTCTGGTCATTAGGCATGGTGAAGATTGGCTCTTTCTGCCACCAATCAAGTATGTGGACATGGTTTTTGGCACCGAGCCAGACGAACATCCGTCCATGGTTGTAGTCACTGGTCTAAACAAAGGCTGGCTTTTTCTGGCAACGGACAAGCGTGTAGCCATGGCTCTGGTCATTAGGCATGGTGAAGATTGGCTCTTTCTGCCAATAGTCAAGTACGTGGACATGGTTTTTGGCACGGGGCCAGACGAAGACTGGCCCTTTCTGTTGACAGACGAACGTTCCTCCATGGTTGTAGTCACTGTAGGGCTAGACAAAGGCTGGCTTTTTCTGGCAACGGCCGAACGCGTTGCCATGGCTACCGTCACTGGGTCAGAGGCCTTTGGTTTTCTTCGTGAATTTCTACCACTTGCGACTTTCTCACGAAGGCCCAGTAAAACCTCATTGGGTTCCTCGGTAGCTACTTTCTGTGTTAGTATGTCCTGGTGACCCTTCTCGGTTTGACGCGGTTTCTTAGGGTTCTTAGTTTGAAGGCCAGACGCCATTTTCCTTTTCTTAACTGAGCTGCTAGGAACGCATATCTCCACACCTGAGGGTGTGGAGCTCCTGCTCTTTGCTTTTGAAAGTCGGGGCATTTTTCTTGACTTTCTTTTAGGCATTTGAAAACAAGTCTTTAAACTTGGTGGTATTAGGAAAAGCTATTGACTGACCTGAAGATCGACTGACTTTCTGGCGTTGCTGTTTAGGGCCCCGTCGGCAGCGTCGGCAGCGTCGGCAGCGTCAAGCAGCTGTTCCGTTGCCCTCCATCTAGTTTAGCTCTTCTAGAGCAGCGAGGGACTACTGTACGTGTTGCACTCAACAGGGCCTACTTCCGTTTCACAGATGAGATCCTAACTGTTCTAGCCTTTCCATAGGGCTAGAATAGTCTGGTTTGCATTTCTTGTTATTTTTTTTTAGTGATTGTTATTTATGAGTCATTTTACTCCTTTCCATATATACATATGCAATTGATAGTGAGAAACCAGTGCTAATCAAGAGAACAATGACTGAAAAAGTTCCTGTTTTTTACTCACAGTTCTTTGTTTATGGGTACCACATTTATTTATTTACCTACTCATCCAATTGAGGAAATTTTGTTGCTTCCAAGTTTTATCACTCACGAATAATGCTGCTATAAATGTCTTTGTGCAGATTTTTGGGTGAACATATTTTAAGAGTTTTGAACATTTTTGTTTCCTAGAAAAATTTTAACTAAAAAATTAGTATACAAAACAACGGGCTTAATTATAAGATATTTGCTCATACATAGCACAGATTTTGCAAAAATAAGACTTTCAATACATAGCACAGATTTTGAAAAAATATGACTTTTACAAAAATGCCTCTCATGCTTGCAGCAGTTATGCTAATGTTCTCTACATCGTTTCAACTGCAGTATAAGTGCCACCCAGGTGAGCCCTGGTCATACATTTTTGACGTGGTAAAATATCAAGGACTGAAATTGAAATTGCTGTTTTTTTATGTATTGCTAGTTTTAAAATATCATTAATATTTTCACAAGGCTCATCTTGCTATATTATTAATATTTTCAGACATGTTATCTTACTATATTGTTATTAATATTTTCAGACAGGGTCTTACTATGTAGACTAGACTGATCTGGAATTCACTATATAACCTGGGCTGGCCTCAAATGAAAGATCTTCCTGCATCAATCTCCCAGAGCTTGGATTGTAGGTTTGATTTGCCATGCCAAGCTATTGTTTAATTTTAGAAGAGGATTAAATTGTCTTCCTAACTGGCTGCACCATTTTGCATTCCCACCAACAATGAGAATTCTAGTCTTCCATATCCTCATCAGTTTATAATGTTGAACATATGTGTGCATATGTATTCTATGTATAGGCATGAGCATAGATTGTCTTACAATTTTTTCAATTAGGTTATTTGTTTTTTATTGTTAATTTTTAAGACCTCTCTGTATGTTTTGGATAGCAGACTTTTTAAAATCATATCTTTTGCAAAGTTTTTTTTAGTCTGTAGCTTATGTTTCTTGACATTGTCTTTCACAGAGCAGAAGCTTAAAAAAAATTAATTAATTAAATTAATTATCAACTGTTTCTTTCATCAGTTATTCTTTTTTTGTGGGTAGGGGGAATGTTGAGATAGCACTTCTCTGTATAGCCCTGGCTGTCCTGGAATTCACTCTGCAGAGCAGCCTGGCCAAGTGCTGGAATTAAAGACATGCACTACCACCACCCAACTCATCAATTATTCTTTGATATTGTCTGTAAAATGTCATTGCCATTTTTAAGGCCATTCTGGTTTTTCCTTAAATTATTTTTCAGGTGTTTTTTGTTTTACATTCTTTTATGGTCAGGGGGTCCGAAAAGAGGATTTCTTTCTTTCTTTCTTTCTTTCTTTTGACATGGTTTCTCAAAACCTATCTTTGGCTGTCCTGGAACTTACTCCGTAGAGCAGGCTAGCCTTGAACTTACAGAGATTCACCTGTCTCTTCCTCCTGAGTGCTGAAATTAAAGGCATGCACCACCAGGCCCAGCTACTTTGGAGGATTTCAATCTTGTAGAATTTATCAAGGCTTATTTATTGTTGTACTGAATCATATATCCTGGGAAATTTCTTCGTGAACTTGAGAAAACTGTAGTTTCTTAGTAGAAATGCTTAAAAGTCTTTATAGATGTATGTTGTATCTAACATGTTTGCAGGTTTGTTAATGTCTTACATTTTTTTTCAATATTCTACCTGGTTGTTTTGTCTATTTTTAAATATGTCACACTAGTATATCTAGTTTTTGTTGATTTGTCTATTTATAAATTGCTGTTTTTTGTTTCAATGATCTTTGTTCAATGTTATATTCGTAATTGTTAATATCTTTCTGATGGATTTTGTCTGTTATTATTATTAAATTTCTTGTCTCTAGTCATACTTTTGTCTTTTTTATTTGCTCTTTTTTACTCATTTTATTTTTTTATGTGTTGGTGTGTTTACCTGTGTGAGTTTATGTTTACCACTTCTAAGCAATATTTCAGAGAGGCCAGAAGAGTTTTTCATATCTCCTGGGATGGAACTTACAGGTGGTATGAGCTGCCACGTGATCAGTAAGAACCAACCTTAGGTCCTCTGTAAGAGCATTAAGGTAGAGTTGACATTAGTGATTTTTTTCCAATTATGTTGTATCTATTTATGGAAAATAAATTTTTCATATATTCTGATTACTGTTTCTCCTCCCCAAACTCCTTCCATCTCCTCCCCCACCTTGTTAGAAAACAAACAAACAACTTAAAAAACAAAACAGAATTTGCCCAAACAAGCAAACAAAAAGAGTCAAACAAAAAGCGTAAGAATCATGTACAAAAGAGACACACTCATTTGTACACACAGAAATCCCATAAAACCACAGAATATGTAACCATAATATAGAAGAAGAAGACCTGTAATGTAAAAAAGTTGTACAGATACAGCCTTATGAGACAACTTTAAAAGACTGAGTTTGTTTTGTATTAACCATCTACTGTGGGCATGGGATCTGGCCTTAAGTGTGGTTTGTATACTCAATGAGATCCAGTTGGAGAAAACTAATTTTTCCTTTCCAAGTGGTTATCAACTGGAGATAGCTTTGCTTAGGGATGGGGGCTTGTGTCCACTTCCCCTCTCAGCTGGGACCCCATGTGGATTAGACCCATGCCGGCTCTATACATTCTGCCACAGTCTCTGCTAGTTCCTGTGTGTGTTTGCTCTGTTGGCCTTTGTTTCCTTGGTATCTTCCATTCCCATTTGCTCTTATAATCTTTCTGCCTCCTCTTAAACAAAGTTCCCTGATCTCTGAGTGGAAGAATTTGATGAAGACATCCTGTTTGGCAATGTGTGTTTTAAGGTACCTCACTTTCTACATGTTGTCCAGTGGTGAGCCTCTGCATTTGGTTTTATCTACTGTGGGAGGAAGCTTCCTTAATGATGACTATGCAAGACACTGATGTATGAATACAGAAGAATGTCTTTTGGAGTCACTTCTTCGCTATGTACCTTTAGCAAAATAATAGTATTTGAGTTTCCCCTTGGCCCATAGCCTATCTAGTCTCAGCTTCTTAGCCATCCCAAGCACTGTTAGGGATGGGTTACATTGCACAGAGTGGTCCTTAAATCCAACCAGATATTACCTGGTTATGCCCACAAACTTTGTGCCACTATTGCAGCAGAACATCTTTCAGGTATGTCATCATTGTAGATTGTAGGGTCGATAGCTTGTGTTTTGTTTGTCTTTCCCTTTTGTTAGTGTACAGAGTACCTTAAAGTACTCGAAATACTAGTCAGTAGAAGTGAAGGCTCTAGGTAGGCACCAGCTCCACTTCTCCATGTTCAATGAGTTGTGTAGGCATTGTCTTCAGCAATAAAGCCTTACCATTAGTTGGTGAAGAGCAACCAATAGTTTTGGTGATAGTCTAGTTTGTTTGAAAATTTTCTTAGAGTCCTCTTGGCCAACAATTTGATTAGATATAATTCATAACCAGAACTGGAGGTTTCATTTGGTGGCAAGAGATGTCTAGTTGGAGCTTTGTCTCCCCTGTTACTTTGTTATTCCATTTTGATTTCTTTCACATATGTATATATTTTAAGAAGCTTTTACTGTATTAGGTCTCTAACAGCCCCTCAAATCGCCTGTAGTTTTAGCTGCCCCTTACCGCATTCCCTTCCTTATACCTTTCTTCCTTTCTACTCCCTGTTTGATCCTTCCGTTCCAGTCCCCTCTACTGTCCTTCTATAACTATCTATTCTATTTTCCCTTCTTAGGTAG